AACAAAAGCATAAAATGAATGCAAGGGAAACAAGAGAATTGGGAAACATGCTATTGGCATTAAAAATTCTAAAGCACATCCACACAGGATGGTCTATAGGTAACCTAGAGGGGAAGGTTCAGGGCCAAAAGGCCAGAGGAGCAGTAGGATCTGCAACATCCACAATGGCCAGGCCCTTTGCTTTCCTGATGATCCTGGTGGTGATGAACTACTGGTCAATCTGCTCTCTGGGATGTGACCTGCCTCAGACTCATAACCTCAGGAACAAGAGAGCCTTGACAATCCTGACACAAATGAGGAGACTCCCCTCTCTCCTGCCTGAAGGACAGAAAGGACTTTGCATTCCCTCTGGAGAAGGTAGAAGCCCAGCACATGCAGAAGGCTCAAGCCATCCCTGTCCTGCAGGAGCTGACCCAGCAGGTCCTGATCCTCTTCAGCTCAAAGGACTCATCTGCTGCTTGGGAGACAGCCTTCCTAGACACATTCCACACTGGCCTCCACCAGCAGCTCAGTGACCTGCAAGCCTGTCTGATGCATCAGGTGGGGATGCAGGAACCTTCCCTGCATATCAGATATTTATATTTTGGTTCATATCAGTGGCAAAATTACAGTTATGAAATATCAACAAAAGTTTTGTGGTTGAATGTCACTAAAATGTGCTGAACTTTATTAAAGGGTTACAACATTGGGAAGTTTGAAAACTACTGGCCTAAATAGTGAGGTCCAGGACAGCCCATGTTTTAGAGAGTCCTTGTTTTAAAAACTTCAAAAAATTGAGCTAAAATAAATTGAGAATTTAAAGATTGATACATTTATTGAAGTATAAATATTCAGCATATCTTAGTACTTAAATATCTCAGACAAGGCAGATTAAAGAGGAATGAAAATATATAAATAAGGTATAAGTTCTGTATGAATGACTATTGTTTCTATATTCAATAGTTTTTGCATGTACAGGAACAATATGGGTAAATTATGTGCTCTGTGTATTCAAAAATATGGTTAAAGTATGATTCCGAATATTTTTAAGTTGACCAAAGAACCATGGAAGCAGTTGAATTCTTTCATAAGTTAATTTTAAGCAAGATTTTCAAAATATTGTACTTAATACCTACTGAATTGAATTTTAGGATTAAAATTTTCAGGTGATATTTGTTTTATTTGTATTATTAAATAAATTACAAGGTGAATCCAGTTCCAATTTTTTTAGATAAAATTGAGAACACAGGGGAACACAAGAGAAGAAGGGGAAGAAGGACTGTAGGAGCCAGAGAGGCCGAGGATAACAGGAGAACACAGCACACAGAGTCAACTAAGCAGATGTCACAGGGGCTCGCAGTGGCAATCACAGAGCCAGTGACAATCACAGAGCCTGCATGGGTCTGTGCTAGGCCCTCTGCAAATATGTGGCTCTTGTTAGCTTGGTGTTTTTGTGGGACTCGTAACAGTGGGAGTGGGGGAGTCTGACTCTTTTGTCTGCTCTTGGTACCCTTTTCCTCCTGCTATGTTGCCTCGCCCAGCTCTGTAATGGGAGTTTGTGCAAGTCTTACTGTAACTTGTTATGCCCCATTACAGTTTGTATGCCTGGAAGACCTGCTCTTTTCTGAAAGAAAATGGAGGAGAGTTGATCTGAGGGAGAGGAGTAGTGTGTAGAAGGGTAATGAGAGGTGTGTAGAGTGTGAAAACTGCACTCAGGTTGTACTGTATGACAGAGCAATAATAAAATAATACTGATGCAATGGTATGTTTCAAAGTCTTTCAGGTCTCTAAAAGTTAAAATTTATTTTCTTCAAATTGGCATATTTAGTTCAATACCATATCTGCATTTTGTCTGTGTGATTCATGTAATTATTTTCATGCTGTCATATTACAATGGTTTGTGGACAAATGAGCTTATGTTGATGATGGATTTGTTTGCTTCCTGAAACCAAGTTGGAAAGAGGTAACTGATGCCTGAAAATTGTCATTTAACATCTCCATGTACTTTGTGACAAATTTGGAGCTGCACACAGAGACACACATAGACCCCACACAACTTGTACTCAAACATGTAGGTATGCCTGCAAGTGCATGCACGCACACACACACGCACGCACACAAACACGAAGAAACACACACACTTACATCTAAGCACTTAGGATTGCATGCAAACACACACACACAAATATTTAATTCATTTAACATATATTAGCATTTATCTTCAATGGACATGATTTAGACCTTAGGTTTCTTGCTTACTTTAAATGGAAAATGATCCTTCATGGCCCTTGGTCTTCTAAAACTGGGCAGGTTTTGGGCAGAGTCTTCATAGCACAATCTCATCATACTGGAAAAACAGATGGTGCTTTTCCTCTTTGCTCCCTTAGATGACTCATTACAGGCAAAGGGGTTCTCTGACATTTCTCCCTCTCTGGAACTAATTCTTGCAGGCCGCATGGCTATGTTTCCCTGCTCCCTCAAAGTCAAGATCAGTATAGACCCCCCTTCTGTCCTCCCCTTTTGTAGTGAGGTCTACACTGTTCTTCAACCTGATAGTCACACAGATCCTTAGTGCTGGTCCCTCCTAGGTTTGTATGTGTGTGCAGAGTCTGATTCCAGGATGGTATTACTTCTCTAATACCTTGGCACTTACTCAGTAACTCTCAAATTCATTAACACTCTCTGATGCATCAGTCCTCCTCCTCCTCTTATGTCTTACTCTATGAGAGAGGGACCATGATGACATCAGAATTCATACTGGATGTCATGTTCTCTGGGTTTAAATTTAATAAATCCTAGGTTACTGCTTCTATCTATAGCTGTTGCTGTGAGGTGATTTTGCTTTCAGATGTGATTCACATGATCAAGTATTAGAATGTCAAGGGTTCCCAGATGTTAATAATAGAAAAGCTGGATTGTCCATATTTATGGGCAAATTTTGTAGTTTGTGTTAATATCAATTTCATTGATAAATACTTGTTCTTTAATCAAATACCAAAATTCAGTCAATAAGTGGTTGCTATGCATGAATTATTAGGTGAATATACAGGACACATTCATGTGTACCCTTACTTGGTTGTCAGTTTGCAGTACCCTTGTTTGATAATCAGTTGTCTAGTAAACTTGGCTGACAAATGTCAATCCACTTGTACTTTAGTAATGTTTCCCATCCTTTCTTCCTTCATCTAAATGCAAAACTGAGAAGCAGACATGTTTACAATACTCTATCAGAAAGAAGAACTTTCTGTTCTTTAACTGTATATAATTTTTCTTTAGCTTTACTATTGAGGAAGTAGTATAATGGTGGATGCCTGACACTTAATCCTTGCATCATGTTTACTTCACAGTGAAGTAAGAGAGAGGGGAGTGAAACAGGCAAACACAAGAAGATAACATTATTCCCATGTAATTTTTCTTTGCTTTCAAAGATATTAATATTGATATTAATGCTTGAATTTGAAGTCCTAGAAACCTAATTAATATGATATGAAACTATGTTTTTGAAAGTTATCTAGAGAGTCAACATGATCACAATCAAAATTTCAGTAATGCTACTCCAACAATGTCAGTATTAAAGCAATTATGGAACAGGAAGGTGTATAAATAACAGAAGCACTATCAAAGAAGAATCATAGTGGAGGTGTCTAACACATGACTTCTAATCACAGGTCTATATCTGATGGATTATTGCATCTCCCAACCTCATCAGAGAATCTTCTTTTTGCATTGTCTGACTATAAACTAGGAGACACCAAACTGGACACCATTCAGAGAATAAATACCAGAGGAGTTCTCAATCCTAAATAAGCCATGTCTATTACATCAACTCCTCCCAAGGCTCAGGAATCAGAAGATGTAGTGGAAAGAGTATAAGAGCCGGAGGCAGGGGATGACTACAGCAAGAGTGTTTTCAGGATACAACAGGGCATTTGCACATGTGAAATGACCACAGCTATGACTGCTGACCACAAGGCCTGAACACATGAAGACAGACAAAATCCCTACTTGGAGCTGAGAGGAAAGTAGGGGGTTCCACTCAAGGCTGAGTTCCTATTGGCAACTAATGTCCCTTGTCAGAGGGAGTGACTCAATGTCAGTCTTTGTGTCCTTGAGAGGCTACCCATGCTCCAGTACATGGCTCTGTACTCATATACATGCATGCATACATACATACATATGTAATACTTGGATACTGAGCACACTCATGAGTAATCCAGTACTCATTTGCTTTCTCTGTCTCTAACTCTTTATTTCATACAGTTTCTATGGACTTAATGGTATCTCATGTTGGAGAAAAGCAGTGTGTGGGTCAATCTTTGCACACATAAAGATTATTTTCACAGGTACATTTGACTGGTGGGTTTATACATTCACATTGAGTTGTTATAAGTATGCACAAATCCTTTTTCTGGATCAGACACAATGTGAATAATTATCTCTATCGTAGTCTCAGCATAAAATATCCAAGTCTAACATTTTAGGTCGATTTCTGCAGTGCATCCTGAGGTCAACATGATGATGTCTGTCTCACTGAAATAGAGGGAATTTGGATGTTAAAATCAGTGCTGCCCACCTGAGTCTGAGTCTGAAGACAATTGGTGTGATAGTTTCACCTTAATTCCGCACACAGGACTTGATGTGACAGTATTGTAGTATACAGAGATCTTTAAAGTGAGCAGAAAAGTAGATAATTTTCTTAAGATCATGGAAACCTGACATTGGAAACTCCTGTGTGTATCCTACTTTCCCCAACCTCTCACTTATGGTAAAAGTGTGGAGAGGGATGATGGATGAGTATGTGTATGATAAAATCAAACCATCTAGGATTCTCTCCCCAGGTTTATAACTGATGACTGAAAGAATGTTCTCAGGTGGAGAAATTAATTGCCCATTGTATTTTTAAGTTTATTTTTGAAAAATTTTCTATTTCACAGTACAAAATTGTGCTTTTAACAACCATGAAAATAAATGTACAAACAAGATAATACATGAAATTTGTAGACAATACAAATCTCTCGCTCTCTTGCTCTCTCACTCGCTCTCTTTCCACCGCCATCTTGGTTCCGCGTCCTCCGCACAAAATGCCTGGTGAAGCCACTGAAACCGTCCCTGCTACCGAGCAGGAGCTGCCACAGCCTCAGGATGAGACAGGATCGGGAACAGAGTCTGACAGTGATGGATCAGTACCAGAGCTCGAGGAACAAGACTCCACACAGACAACCACACAACAAGCCCAGCTGGCGGCAGCAGCTGAAATCGATGAAGAGCCAGTCAGTAAAGCAAAACAGAGTCGGAGTGAAAAGAAGGCAAGGAAGGCTATGTCCAAACTGGGTCTTCGACAGGTTACAGGGGTTACTAGAGTCACTATCCGGAAATCCAGAAATATCCTCCTCGTCATCACAAAACCAGATGTCTACAAGAGCCCAGCTTCAGACAACTACATAGTTTTTGGAGAGGCCAAGATTGAAGATTTGCCTCAGCAAACACAGTTAGCAGCTGCTGAGAAATTCAAAGTTCAAGGTGAAGCCGTTTCAAATATTTAGGAAAACACTCAGACTCCGACTGTACAAGAGGAGAGCAAGGAGGAAGAGGTTGATGAAACAGGTTGTAATCCTAAAGGTATTCACAGAAATGAACTTTTGCAAATGGATGTATTTCACTTCCCAGAATTTGGCAGTTTGAAATATGTACACCATACCATAGACACGTTCTCAGGCTTCCAATGTAGTACTACCCTCAGCTCTGCAAAAGCTGACTCTGTTATTACACACCTCTTAGAGGTGATGGCTGTTATGGGTATACCTAAAACAATAAAAACTGACAATGCTCCAGCATATGTCTCCAGTAAATTGGAACAAATTTTCAAATATTATAATATAAAACATGTAACTGGTATACCTTACAATCCCACAGGACAAGCAGTGATTGAAAGATCTAACCGAACCTTAAAAGAAATGCTTCATAAACAGCCAGGGAGAAGAAAGACCCCTAAACACAGGTTACATAATGCTTTACTGACATTGAATTTTCTTAATGCTGATGAAAAAGGACAAACTGCAGCAGAAAGACACTGGACTACAGAGAAGACTTCTGAACTGAACCAACCGGTGCATTTTAAGGATGTTATGACCTCAGTCTGGAAACCAGGATATGTGTTACGTTGGGGAAGGGGTTATGCTTTTGTTTCCACAGGAGAAGAAAAGCTTTGGGTTCCATCAAAATTAATTAAGATTCGATCAGAACAGAAGACATCTCAGGAGGAGGAAGATAACAGCTCATCTACAAATTCATATTCTACCATGGGTAAAGTGACCTCCTAAAAGGAAAGAGAAGTGTTTTGGTTTTTGTCTTCACAGGTAAACTCAGCAAAGAATACTGGACATATGGATTCCTGAAGAAGAATGAATAGCTACCCTGAGGACCATCAAACAAACAATAACTCACTGTGTGGTATCAAAGTCTAAATCTCTCTATATTGTTTTTCATAGTACCCTTTTATCTTTGTTTCTTCATATACTTCAGTCCCCATTCATTTAACTGAAGCTGGCTTTGGAGTTGGATTGGCTCTCCTACTCTAAATTCAAGCATATTATTTAAATAAAATTCAGACTTTCTGTAGTATATCAAAGAGCCATTGATATAAGACAGAAGAAAATAAAATTAGGGACTGTTATCTGTGGATTTCTTTTTCTGAAAAGTCTAATTTCCTTCATGTTTACCATCTTCCCTATTGTCACCTCTTCCAGTATGCATACATATAAAAGTTAAAATATTTCTTTGTTAACATTAATGTTTGAGTTTTCCAGAGAACAAAGGATTTCCTGACAGCAATCTTCAACTGCTTCTGAAAGAGAATGAGGATCCACTTTCTTGACTCCACCTGATTCGACTGGAAGCATCTGAACTGCCCCACATCATGGACTCCACCTGACAAGCGCTATCCTGAAACTGGCTTGAAACTACATCACTCGACACAACTCCAGACCAAGGAAGTGAAACAGCACACCTTCTACAATCTGGCCAGAGCTTCAGATGAGAGCTTCAATCAACACTAGAACCCCAGTCAGGAACTTCAATCAAGCATCTCCTGCCAATACAGAGACTGTCTGATCTACTGAAGATTTTGTTATACTAACATTTTTCTTCTCACAGGTCCCCATGAGATTGTCATCGTCCCATCTCAGCAGGAAGTAGTCTTGAGAATTCCATGCCCTCTCTCCCTACTATTGATATTATAGGATAGTTTACAACTGTTAGTGTTAGTTTTCAATTATTTTAGAGTTGGGATTGGAAGGAGGTGTTCAAATTTGGGTGTTTCTTTCAGATAAGTTTAGGTTTAGATGGGATTGATGTTTGATACATTTTGTTGTTTTAAGTTTAAATATTCTTTTTAGACTAAAAGGGGAATTGTAGGAGGAAGCTGTGTGCCGCCATTAACCATGTGACTTACTAGAGGCACACACAGATGAGGTAATAACAGAGCCGTTTACCACACCGCTAACCACACCCACTTTAGGCATGACTAAAGACATATACGGACGTAGGCGGTCAACTACGTCACTAGCCAGGTCCACTTTTGGGCATCGCTAGGGGCGTTACAGGGAAAGGTATAAAAGACTGAACAACGGAAGTCTTGGTCTCTTTTTCTGGCTTTCGGCTTCCAGTTCGGTGGCAGAAAACTACTTGTCTCATCTGGGTTACTTGTTTGGTATCTTGTGAGTAATTTCTACAATAAATACTTAGTTTTACTTTCAGTAATTGTGCCGTTTATCGTTACAGCATCAGGGAGGGGTCAAAGGATTAATTTTATACATATTTCAAATTCTTGCCCAGATTTTTTCCATGGGATGTTTCTTGATGCTTTTATGAATAAGTTGATTGCCAGATTTAGTCTGAGGGCATTTGTCAGTGATACATAGGATAGATAGTTTTTATAATGTATTATTATTATGCTGTGTTATATGACTTCACCATTTACTTTCCATAAATGCTTAAAATCCTAGATATTAGGAATAGAATACTAGGTCCCAGAATCAGAGAAGTCAGAGGCTGCCAAATTCTGGGGAATAATTGATCAAAGAGGACTAGGTCACAATTTGATAAGAACAAGGAATTCTGGCTTACAGCTGCACAGAGTGATGATTGTACACACAGAAGCACGAAATAAGCAGGAGAAATGGAAAGATAGGATTTTACCAGCCATAAACAAGCATGAGATGGGTTTATCTGAACCCTGTATGTCACATGCACCTACAATAGTTTGTACCCTGATCATGTATATAATATTTACTGTAGAATACCAGTCTAAGCATTAACATTTTTGAATAGAAATTGTAGTGATATTTATGATTTATTAAAGCTTGCTGCAGGATTCAGAAGGCAAAGTCAGACAGAAGCCATATAAGCCAGGCACACACCTTTAACCCCAGCAGCCAGAAACTGGGAGGTGGTGGTACACATCTTTAATTCTAGGACTCAGGATTAAGAGATAGACAGATCTCTTTGAGTCCAAAGCCACCCATATCTACACAAGAGTGATTCCATCCAAAAGAGAACTACAGCTCACACCTTTAATCCCAACATTAGGGAAGCATATAAGACAGAAGCAAGGTCTCAGTGAGGCATTACTTCTTCAGCCACATTGAAGGAGAGGCAGCAGTTTGAGACTTGGTGAGGAGATTGTGCATAGATCAGCAATTTCAGCCTGCACTAGAGGTGAGAGCTAGTGGCTGGCTGCTTTGCTTTTCTGATCTTCAGCTTGAAGTTTGAATCTAAATATCAGCCTCTGGGTCATTTATTTTTCAGGTTACAAGAAACAAAGACTGAAGAAACAAAATCTGATTGATTTAGCAAGAATTTATATAAAACAAATCTATAATATTATACCACAAAATATGTTATATTACATAGTATATAAATAAATAAATAGATCTAATTGGATAGAGACAAGTGACTTCACAGATGGACAGGAGCATTGCTCATTGCTGCTGAAACATCTAGGCAGGGTTATTGAATTCACGATAAATTAGAATCTTGAGACTGCAGAATCTGGGCAGTGAGGTGTAGTGTCCTCCTCCAGGAGAGTCCTCTCCACTTTTTTCAGGACTTACTCCTTCTCCTCACTCAATCTTGCCAGCAAGTTGGCTGAGGAAGACAGGGCTCTCCAGACTTCTGCTCTGACCACCTCCCAGGCACAGGGGCTGTGGTTCTTCTCTCTCAGGTACACAGTGATCCTCTGGAAGTATTTCCTCACTGCCACCAGGGAGTCTTCCTGGCTCAGGGCAGGTTCCTGCTCCCCAACCTGCTGCATCAGACAGGCTTGCAGGTCACTGAGCTGCTGGTGGAGGCCACTGCAGAATGTGTCTAGGAGGGCTGTCTCCCAAGCAGCAGATGAGTTCTTTGAGCTGAAGAGGATCAGGACGTGCTGGGTCAGCTCCTGCAGGACAGGGATGGCTTGAGCCTTCTGGATCTGCTGGGCATCCACCTTCTCCAGAGGGAATGCAAAGTCCTTTCTGTCCTTCAGGCAGGAGAGAGGGGAGAGTCTCCTCATTTGTGTTAGGATTGTCAAGGCTCTCTTGTTCCTGAGGTTATGAGTCTGAGGCAGGTCACATCCCAGAGAGCAGGTTGACCAGTAGCTCATCACCACCAGGGCCATCAGGAAAGCACAGGATCTAGCCATTGTGGATGGTGAAGATGCTGCTTGTCCTATGGGCTGTTGGTCCTGAACCTTCCGCTTTAGTGTTTCTGAAGACCATGCTGTGAGCATGTGTCTTAAATAGTAGAAAGCACCAGTTTCCATTTTCTAATTGTCCTCCCATTACTTTCCCATGCCCCTTTCACTTTCTTTTAGTCACTCTCTGCTAGTGTCTGTCCTTTTTTCCAGTCATTTTTGTTTTCATTATTTCTTTACTTCCACTGTTCCCCTCAAAAGCTTCTTTAGATTTTATTTAATTCATAAATTATCATTGACTTTTATATCGCAGATATATATTACATGCATGAAACTACTCACATGTAAAGAATGAAACCTTTCATCTAATAATTGTCCTGAAAGTTCTTGGATTTAATGTTGCAATGGAATTTTGTGGGTTGTATTTATTTCTTCATATAGTTATTGAAATTGTAATATAAATTTTGTTGCAGATTATTTTTTCTAATTTTACACTAATGATATTTGATGTAATAGTACAAGTCAAAATCTTATATATGTTGATTCAAAGTTTATAAAATGAATCATACGCCATGGTTTCCTTATATCCATGGGAGGCCTGCTCTTTCGTGAATAGAAAGGGGGAGGAGTGAATTTTGGGAGTGGATCCAAAGGAGTTGTGGGGGAAGGCTTGGTAGGAGAAGAGCGAGAGGAAACTGTAATCTGTTTGTAAAATATATGAAGAGATGTAAAAATTTAGTTAGTTTTCTCTAGTTGTCTTAAGTTGAATTAATATTAAATTATATGGAAGATCAAGTTTTGTTTTTAGTGTATATTAGGATGATTTAATGATTGTCCAAGAGTCATAATCGCACAATTAGAAAAGAGCTTCCCGATGAAGGTTGACAAACTGGTGTGTGTGGAAAACTGATTCC